ATGACACGATTGAACTAATTGTTTCTAGAATAACTCTCAACATTAGCAACCTGAGACACCAACACAAGATTATTCTCCAGACTTGGGCCATTACAAACATTTTTACGAGAAACGCCGCCAATATTTATTGCAAATTCTGAATATCAGGATGTAAAGAATTATAAGTCATCGCATTGACTCTTCTTCCACAAACATCAGAAAGAAGAAATACATCTTCAGTAGAATGATGAAAACAACCAGAACCAACTGATCAATCCTCACCGTAATTAGAAGAAGCATTAGTACAATAATTAATGGGTTGATCAATAATTTCAATGGATATACAAATGATCCCAATTGAGTCTTCAACGCTTATTAATTTCCTATACAACATCTGCTTCTGCTTCTTTAAGTTTCGCTCGACAGTTTTGTTTAATATGGCCTGGTTTCCCACATCGACAATATACCACCTTCCCGACAATCACGTTTGATATGTCCCGACCTTTTTCACCTAAACATCCTTTTGAAATACCTTTGATTGCTTTTCATTTCTAGAATGCTTGCTATCATTTGAAGAACATTTGGAAACATAATTACTTTGTCTCTTGTTTAAAAAATACCTTCTACCTCAAGGGAATACTACTTGTTGTTCACCAAGCATTTGTTTCACCAATGCTTCCTGATTTGATATCAAATTTTTCAACTCAATAATAGATGGTTGATATACCCAACCTTAGATCGAAGAAATAAACATCATAAACTCATTTTGCAATCCACGAATAAAATTTCGACACAAACGAGCATCATTAATGGGCTCCTCTTTGTTCGATTCTAAAATTTCATAACACAAAGTTATAATTTTCATAAAATATTCTAAAACTTACAAATTACCTTGAGTTTTTCGAGCAAGTTCATTCTCCAAGTACTGCAACCTCGTCGTATTCTTCTAAGTGAACAACCTTTCAACTGTATCGCACACATGCTTTGGAGAATCTACATCAGGAACACGCTCGAGATACTCCTTGCCAATAGAAGTTCACAAAAGCAAATAAAGTTTTTGCCATATTTGATCTTCCACTTCCTTCGTACCTCAACATTTTAGGGAGTATCTTTTAGAATTTTAGCATAATCACCAAGAAACAAGATCCCACAGATCTTATACTTGTAGAAAAGATTCCATACAAATATTGCTTCCATCATTCATCTTCAACCGAGAAATAAACTCAAAACACCGAGCACAAAACTCAAACACAAATACAAGATAAAAAACCTCGCTTTGATACTATGTAAGAAAAAAATTAAGAGAACAACGGAGTAGAAGCAAAAGATAAATTGTACGAAGGAAGAACTTTTATTCATTTAATTGAGAATTGTTACAGGTATTTACAAGAAAAACAAGAATTGACCACTAACCCACTACTTAGGCACTGCCCTCCAAATTTTCTCTAAACCAATACCGCAGCTTCACTAACCCACAGACCTAAAAACTCTTCAACTTACACATTCCACTTATCCACTACTTAGTTAACTATTAACCATCAAATTTAATTACGAAGCACAACTAAAAAAATGTGAAAATACTAACCATGTTTGCACTAATTTTAACATTTCTAGTCGCTCACAAAAAAATAAAAAATAAAAATAACATTGCAAATATATCTCCAACTTTTATCTATCTAAAATTCTTCTCTTTCAATTTTATTTTGCTATAACTTTTTATTCCTCTTTTTATTTATTTATTTTTCTCTAACAAACACGTGATTTTTTTTCCTCATGATAATTTTTTTTTCTTTCTTACTCTAACATATTTTTTTGTTCTCAGCACTCACTTTCTTAAAACTTCTCTCTTTGTCTTTAACTAGCTTTTGAGATAATATCTTCGGAGGACTGTTTTAGAAACTTATTTACACAAATGTCTAAAATTTTCTAATTTTACACTTTTAGATTTCTACGTGTATACGTGTAGGATTTTTTTATAATACTGATTTTACTCTTATTTATTACATTTATATTTATTATTGTTAAATTTTTTTTTTGTTGCAATCTAAAATATTTAAATCCCTAAATTGTAGACATAATCATTTAATTATTGTGGGCCCCGTATCAATTTTAACCTTAATCCCTTGATTCACTCATTCATATATTAATTGGATTAGTATATCCTATATTAATTACAAAAAAAAGATTATGATGATTTCAATTTCTAAATTAATTAATGCGTAGATTTACCCATGATTTCAAATTCAAAATAGTTGGAAATATACCCACGATTTACCCACGATTTTCTGCCCCTTTCATTTCTTCCCACGATCTTCCAACGTCAATTTTTTCCCACGTTTTACTGCTGCATGCACTAATACTAAGGCGAAGTTTTTCTTCTGCTCACGTTTTTTAAAATATTGCTCTGACCTTGCTTTAATTTTTTTTTTTGTGAGAAGAAGATTCTTTCACATGATTTTCTTTGGTTGGTGATTGTAAAATATAAAAGGATTCATTTAGTTCTTTTTTTTTTTTTGAGAATAAGTTCTTTGCTGGTTGATGTTATCCGGATAGAATATAGAAGTATTCGTTTAGTTTTTTTTTTTATCTTGCAATTTGGTATTTAATAATAGATATAAAATATATCCGGATATAATTTTTAACTATTGAAGTTTCAATCTCATATAAACTTATATAGTGTAGATATATATTATATCCGCATATAACATTAACCTATCAATTTAGACATCGTAGCACATGCTTCATTATTATGAATTGCTCTTATTAACATTAACCTAGCAAATAAAATCCAATCCAATATAATTACAAGATAAACCTATATGCTAAATAGAAAATATATCCGACTATTGAGTTCCTATAACTACCAAAATGATACTTAGTTGTAGATATATGTTATATCCGCATATATAGAAGAATTCACACCTACATTTCACACCACTCAAATCATATTTGAATCTTTCTCAATAACTGACTATTTATATTGGGTGTGGACAATATATGGGTATGGATAATATACCATTATGAAATCCTAGATTCTTTTTTAATGGAGTAACCGAAATCGAAGACTAAACAAACCTTCACTTTGACGGGAGTCCGACAACGACAATGGAGAAACCGGTCTTCTACGAACTGTACGATTTGCTGCGGGATAAACTGAGTTGACGGTAGGCAACGAGAACGGAATGGCTTTACGCGACGGCCTACTGTGGACTGTTACAGGACAGTAAACGGAGAAAGTGATCGGAAATAATGGTGTTTGGGGAAGAAGGAGGAATCGGTGGAAGAAGAAACAGATGGAAGAACGAGAAACAAATGAGTAAATAAAGAAACTGTAGGATTATTTGAGTATTTTTATTTTTGGCAAGTCTAAATGGGCATAAAATAAAGGATTTAAAATCTAACCTACCAAATAAACCATTTTGATTTTCATAAATTTATTAATATTTAGGTGTAAATAAAGAATGATAAAAATGTAAATTGTTGATGGATACCATCTTAAAGAGGGCTATTTTATGACAAAAGTTTAAAATTTTGTACATTGAATCCTTTTACGTAATTATAATCTCTAAATAGACTATCTATGTAATAATCCCTTAACTTTTCTCTTGGTAGATTTTTTTTTCCTCTAAATCTTTCTCTCTCTCTCTAAATTTACTGTATCTAAAACTTTTCTTTTATTTTTATGTCTACACATTAGGGGATTACAAAAATCCCTACAGGGCTTGGGTATCTGCTCCAAGAATAGGCCAGAATATATTTCCCACCATACCCTGACCCCAACCTCAGATTTCATTTTTTAAATAATAAATATATATTTTATTAACAAATTTTCTAAATTAAGAATAAAATATTTAATATTTTTTTAAACTAATTATTTATACTAGTAAATAATTATTATTTTATATAATTATTACAACACATTTTTGTATTTTTAATTCTAAAAATAATAAATCGATAAGTTTTTCCATGAAGATTTCAGTCCCAAAACGAAGATTCCTCGACGTAAACCTCGATTCTCAAAACTGGAGAATGAGGTGGGGACGTGGATTTCAAAATTTCCACGAGGATGAGGATGGAAGTTCTACTCGATTCCCAATCCATCTCGTTGCCATATCTACTTTACCTAAATTTTTCTCTCACTGGCATATCTCTTCAACTCTCTCACCTTCTTAAAAACACAAAACAAAAAAATGGTTATCATACCTATTTGATTTGGTTTTTAACAACAAAAAACAGTTATGAAACATATATAGTTTTTGGTTTTTTAAAAACTGAAACCTAAAAACAAAAAGTAGAAAACAGAAAAACTAAAAATAGAAAAAAGAAATCGTTATCCAATAGGCCCGTATAATTGATACTAGAATGTGTTATTTAAATATTGATACCTTTATTCCTAGCTAAAAATGCTATGAAAATACCATTTAAACTCAAAAATCATCTATATATTCTAGTCATTCCATTTAGCTTTGTAACCATTTTTTTTTCCTTTCCTTTAAATTCTGATTAACACTGTGACCGGTGCAGGACTTGAACAGAAGAATATCTCATAGTAGGTGATACTAAAAGATTCAAGACCCTTATCAGTACGCCTCCAGGGGAACCACATGTAACTATTTTGAGAAACTAAATGAACTTCAACGTCACGAATCTCATTTCTCAAATCAAATTTTCTTTTAATTTCATATCTAGTAAAAAGGTTGGTTGGTTACGGATAAATTATTTAATACCCTTGGTTTAGGTTCATTTTGTAAACGAAAAATACAAAATTTCACAGATTTGGATGAGGTTTCATGGTTGCTAACAATGTATATATAAAATGAACAACTCATAAGCATAAGTAGAAAAGATTAAAAGACTCCACACTTGTTATTACCCAACAGAAATTGGAACAAAGCACACAGATGAACATGCCTTATTTGCACATGCACACGAACATTAAGGATTAAACTCCAAACACACAACATAATATAATATTCTTCCTGTGGAGTTGTAGCACTTAGTCGCTGCTTCTTCAAAGTTACATTGTAGCATAATTTTCATGTTCAGACATAGCTTGAACATTCTGTTGGTTCAGCAACAACCGAATGTTGCCTCTTACATATGGTGAATTAACGTTTGACACAATAACCGTAGCACCGGTCGGGTCTTGAAGCGTGACGTTACTTTTAAATCGTCCACCATTACTCTCTGCTAGCTGAACTTGTTTGGAGAGTTTCCCCCAATTGTTTTCTAAAGATAGAATTTCTGCATTTGGTACCAAATTGTTTGGAACTGCATCCTGAATCTTTTGAAATCTTGCTGCCTCCGACATCGTCTGAATGGTTACCACACACGCCTTCGCGACATCGGCGGGCTGGTAGTTGGTGTTGGGGCAGTTGTAGCCCGCCAACGTTGGAATGAAATTGTTGAGGGATGGGAGGCCAAGTACAAGGGAGCTTCGGTTGGCTCCAACCCCAGCAAGTTGTGGGTAACTGCCATCAAATGGAAGGGTTTTTTGCTCCTTAGAATTGGTGAATACGAAGCTCTTAGCTGCAATGGAAACAGGGTCATTGAAGAAGTGGGATATATTACACTGCGGGGAGTAAAACCCGAGAAGGTAAACGTTTGTTACATCTATAGCCAGCGTGATGGCACGACCACTGCGGTCGGTAAGATGGATTCGTGTGTAGCGAGCTGCGCCTGCAACCGTGGCACGCAGTAGAGATATATTGTAGGGTTTCTTATTTTCAAGTGGCAGATCAGCTCTAAAAGCATTGAGGAAAGCTCCATAGGATGTTTTAGTGGCCGTGGACAAGTTGAAGCTCACATCGCCCTCGACGGTAGGAGATGCAAGGAAGATGGTAAGAATTAGCAAAGAAAACACTAACAATTTCCTCATCTTTTCGAACCTTGGATAATTTTGGATTGGATGCCATTGGAACATCTCAAGGGCTATGCTTTTTATAGCAACCTAATAACATTACATAAAAGGTTTAAAAGGATAGTGTAGTTCACATTATATTAAGTTTAAACTATTATTTTGGTATCCATACTTTAGCTTTGGTTCAATTTAATCCCTATAATAACAGAGAATACATAGATATAAACATTAATTTCATGTAATAACTTTAGATGAACTTTTTTTAATATAATTTTTTTTATTACGACATGTGGGCGTGTGGGATTGAACTCCCACCCTTTTGGTCGGAGATATATGTCAATTATCACTGAACTATGCTGACTTCGACTTAATTTTAATATAATTAATTTGACTTCAGGTGATATGTATATTTTGTTAGATTGAATTATGTTTAAAGTTTATATTCACTTTTGCACTTACAAAAAAGTTTATATTCACTTTTAATAATCTTATATGAGATAATTCTTAATTTAAGTTAACAAAGTCATTTCATTTCGTTTATACTTATTGAATTCAATATAATTTTAGGTTCTTGAACAACAATAACATCTATCATAGATATTTGCTTGTGCTATATATGTCCTAATATTCAGGTTTGTTACCTTTCCTTCTACACTAAACGTCTATTTTTTCAAAAATAAATACTACTATTTTCAAATTTAATTAATAAATTATAATATTTTACTAATTAGTTAAAGATATCCTTTGTATGGTAGTACTCCCAAACTCGTTTGTGTAGGTTTTGGAATTATCAATACAACCAACATTGATAAGATAAGGTATGTTAGGTCCAAATATTGATAGAAAATACGAATAGGGAGATACAATTCACGAATGGAAATGAATTTGATATTTAAATATATATAAATATATTACATATTGTTATTTTTTATTATTCCTAACAAAAATACGAATGTCTAAACTTTAAGAATTTGATATATGTAATTGAAATCCATCCTAACTTTAACCAAAATGTCTTGGAATTGAATTCCAAGAAAGGTACATATCCTCGGTAAAAAAAATAAAAAAATAAAATACATGACATGAATCTCCAAAGTTAAAATATAAACAAAAATAAATTTCTTTGAATAAAAATATCTTACTAACTTGTTTAAAAATAGTACTTTTATTTTTTAAAAGATATCATTTGTATGGCTCCACACCTTTTTTCTCTTTCTTTTGTTTCTGTATGGAGAGTAGTCCACACCTGTTTCAGTAGGTTTTGAAATTATTGATACATCCAATGTTGATGAGATAAACTTTTTATACGTGTAACAGAGAATACAAATATATAAACTTCCAATAAAAAAATACAAATATAGAAAAATACAATTGATGGGTTGAATTTTTTTTTCTTCTAAATATATAAACATATTTGATATTATTATTATTTTTATATTCCTAACAAAATGGCTAATGTTTAAAGTTGAGAATTGAAAGTAAAATTCATTTTAACATGAATCAAAATGTCTTTATGAATTGAATTCTGAAAAGGGTAGATCCTCAATATAATTTTGAAAAAACAATATATGATAATAATCTACAAAAGTTAAAATAAAAACAAAGTAATAATTTTGAATGGGAGGATTCCAAATATTTGAGTTCACGCATTAATTTTGTAGTTACAATATTAAAGATGGTATCAATTAATTGGGAGAAATAGTTACAATATTAAAGTTATGTGCGATTTCGTTCATATCATTTACTCTCGGTTTAAGGATGATTTTTTCACTATACTTTCATTTTTTATCTATTTAAATACATGTAGTAGGATAGTCCGACAATACTATAAATGATCAATAGAATTGCTTAATCGAACATAGTTCAAGTGATTAAGACATATATGAACCATCAACCACTGGTTCACAAGCAAATTTTAGCCAATCCTTTTGCTAGTCCAGGATTTAACCTCTATTAATCTTTTTATTCATACAATACAAATTATTTTTCTTGTTCAGGCTTAAACCACTCCCACATCCTAAATGTGTACCTAATAACATACAAAAACTAATATATATACAGTTAATATAAAAAAAATCAAAATATGAAATTAATTTTTTTTGAAAAAAAGTCTATTATATAAATCCAAATTATATTTGATTGATGTAAAAATTATATGAATATTAAAAGGGCATTTTTTTAACATTATATAAATTTAGAACATTGCCATAATAAAAACTACAAAACAAACGTGGCTATCCACATATTCTCAGACATCCTAATATATTTTGCTATAAAACAAACATATTTATGTGAAGATAATAGACATCTAAAATTCCGGACATCTAAAATTTCAGGTATCTACATTCGCAAATACAAACGACCGTCGTTTGTTTCGTGGGAATCCAAAATTCTCGTCAAGCGGGCATGTAGATTCTCATGTTTGTTTAGTAATGTAAGATACCCGGGTATCTCGAGATGTCTGATATCCTAGGATGTCCATACGAGATGCATGTTACGAGTTTTGGATGCCCTTTTGAAACATGGGCTTCCAAGATTCCCGTGTTGAGAGCATCTACTTTTTACATTTTTGCCCTCCATTTTTTTCTCCATATATTTGATTTTGTAATTTTTTTTTAATTTTTCCTCAAAAATTCTTTATTTTTATTTTTAAATTTATAATTAAAATAAATTAATATATTCATCGTCTAATAAATAACTTTATGCTATTAAGTATATTTGTACATTAGATTTACATATAAAATAAACTACAATTAAATTATATAATATCTTAATTTATTTTTAATTGTTTGAAGGAATTACATTATTAATAATATTTATTACCATAAATATATAACTGTAAAGCAACATTTTTTTTACAGCCAACATACCGGTTATATCTCCCTCTTAAAAAAAATAATATGATGATAGGATAAACAAATTTCACCCAAGATAACATAAATTATATAATTGTCCTTTTGGAAAAGTGTTAAAGTTGAAAATGAAACTTATATTAAATTAATAATGAATTAATTTGTTCTACAAAATAACATATAAAAAATAAAAATATTAAATTCATTCAAATAAATCTATTATATTAGATGAATTTATAAATTATATAAATATTTGTGAGGGCATTTTTGGAACCTTCTATAAATTTAACTCATTCTTAAAAGTAAATCGTGAAAAATTGCCATCCAAATTTTTTGGATATCCATAAAAATATATCTACCAAATAAACATGATGATGTGAACATCTAAAATCCTGGGCATGCATCTGAAATTCCAGACATCTGTAGATACCCGTTATCTACATTCCCAGAAAACAAACGGCGCCTTAGAGTTTTTAGTCCGTTAAAGATTAATAAAGACTCCACACTTTTTATTACTTTTCAACAGATATTGGAACAAAGCACACCGACAAAGTATTCACGTAGCTCGGTCACATGAACATTAAGGATTAAACTGTAGACACACAACATAAAACAATATAGATCAAGTGGGAGTTTTAGTACGCAGTTGCTGCTTCTCCAAAGCTAGATTGTAGCATAATTTGGATGTCCAATGTGGCTGATGAGTGTAGTATCCCCAAAAGCTTTAGCTTTCTGTGTGTTTAGTAGTAACGCGAGGTTGTCCTTACATAAGGTGAATAAATGTCCCCTACTAGAACACCATTAATCGAAACGTTTGTTGGAGGCGAATCCTGGCCTGCCACGTGTCATGATCGGAAAAGTGAGTCGGGTGAACACGCGAACGAAATATAGAAATTGACTTCAAAACACTCAGGTCGGCAGTAAGGGTAGGACCTACAGTGCCGAGCCGGCCTGAGGCAAAGTCCGTAACAATGTCTCTTCCAAACCCGACAACACGCAGCGATTTTAGGGTGTGTCAGAATCCCTGTCGGGCCCAGTTTCTATAAATAGAAACCCTAGCCTTAAATGCAAGGTACGCAATCCTAGATAGACTCGGCAAGTTAGCTCGGACTAGAACTAACTAGCTCGTCGAGTGCTAACTTTGTCTTGCAGGTCTCCAAAGTGTTCTGGGAAGGTGTTGGACCGTTGGCCATAGTTCATCCTGAACGTCCCGATCTACGTTACATCCGAGCTCAACAATTTCGGGCTCAAACATCTGGCGCCGTCTGTGGGAACCGACACATCTAGAAGTCAGTCTCACCTTTTGCAATCTGAGCCAGTGGCCCAAACCCGCTTCCAGCAGTCACGATCTCAACTTTCACCAACCCGCTCTCCAATGAGGGATGCCGTCACTTCTCGAGCCCATCCTCGACTCACGTACTCTCAGGTGGCAGGAACTCCCTT